TTTTTGGTCTTTTTGAGACAGGGTCTCCCTGTAGCCCCAGCTGGCCTGGAACTCACTATGTAGACCAGGCTGGCCTTGAACTCAGAGAGATCCGCCTGCCTCTGCCTCCCAAGTGCTGGGACTAAAGGCGTGTGCCACCACGCCCGGCTGCCATCAGCTGTATTTCTTCGCTGACATTATTTTCATTATAAGAAGGAAATAGACTCAAGGAGATGAAGTAATTTGTCCAAATCAAATACTTAAACTCAGGACCATGTGGCTCTAATAAAAGCCTGAGGGTTAGGCTGATGTTTAGATTTCATAAGCTTGTTTTGTCCCTCGCTAAGGCTGAACAGAAAAATCACGAATGGAAAACATTCAATATCAATTTGTGACTTAAAAAGAAAAGGCACCAAAAGTTAAAATCCCTAAAGCACCCAGCTCAGGATATCCCCTGAGCTCCCAAGGTCCTCTGGTTTTGGAAAAGCAAAGGAAGTTTGACTGCCATTATCAGCATAAACTGTGGATATGCTGATGCTATCATTCCAAGTCACACTTCAGTCCATTCCAGTGTTACACAGAGGCTGCATGAGATCTTCCTTAGAACTAATATAAATTCTGCTTCTGGCTAACAGAATTTCTTAGACAGTTGAGGGATTACATGGGCAGCTAAGATACAGAGGAGGTGGAAGTCAGTAGGGAAAATAGCCACAAAATCAACACTCAAGGCAGAAAAAGAGAGGCCCAAGATTAAGTGGGCAAGAGGAGGGAAAAATGAGGAAAGAGGGTCTCAGAGAGTGGAGAAAGAAACGGCATGGAGTGATGATTCAGGTCTTTATCCCTTGGGACTTTCAGGAAGTATTCAGACTATAGACGTTCTCCCCCATCCACAACTCATGGCTCCCTCAATGTCAGGGCATTCTAGCCACAATTTCTGACCTCACAAATCACAACCAATGTTCTGTTACTTGCTTACACATTCTTATCTTGGTTTTAATTTCCTCTTATGAAACCTGCAGACAGAGCCTTTCATTACTGTTTGCTGAGATCCTCTCAACCTAATCTTGAAGGGTTTTACAGCCTGTCTTGGAGACAGGTGATGCGTAAAGAAATACAGTGACCCTAACTGTGACGACCAACACTGCTGTGTCTCAGCTCCAGGATGAGTGGGCACTTGGCTTTGGAGCAGTGCCAGTTTAAGACCAGTGGGGCACAAGACCAGCAGGGTACAAGGAGGCAAGCTTATAGAGCAGGATGCAGCAGGAAGGGCAGATAAGAAGAAAATAGGCAACTGGGTGAGGTGGGCAGGGGACAGAGGCAAAGGGGTAAAGGGGCAGGCAGGAGTATATCAGCAGCACGAACCCACTCACGATTCTCAAAGTAAAACTTATGGAAATCCATCCCCTCCACGAGGTTACCAAGGGCCTCAGG